GATGAGAAGAAGGAGTCTAATAGGGATAGGAATAAGAGGCTCAAGGGGGGAGAAAAAGGGCTGAAGGAGGTGTAGAAAGAGGGAAGAGATAAAAGGGGATAGAATGGATGTGAGGTAGAGTACATAGCTTTGATTTTATCATTAAAAATGAAGCATAATTTTGGATTGAGAGTGATTACAGGGAAATAGTAGGGGAAGGCTTTAGAAGGTGAAAATGAGATGTTGGGAATTTCTGGTATAGATGTGGGTAATGGTGGTTTAATAGTAGGGCTTAGTCAGCAAGCTGGCAGAAGAGGAGGACAGGATGAATTAATAATGGAAAACCAGCCATTTCTTAGTTATCTCCTCCATAGATGATGAGCCACTCAACAGCATGAATAGGAGTATCAGAAGGTGTGAATTCGGGTTTGAGATTAGAGGGACAAATGGTTCTTTAGGAGATTTGGGCAAATTAGTAAAGTATTGAGTACAGAGAGTATTTGAATATTGAAACTGTAAAGTTTAGGGTGGGCAGAAGTGATAGAAAAGGGGAAAGCATATGTGAAAGAGCTATCTAAAGGGCATGCTGCCTCCCTGGCTGGGATCCCACTCCTAATGCATCCAATTAAATATTTGTTGAGTAGAAGTAGAAGAGTTATGCCTTTTACAGTTTGCTTCTCAAAATCCTGCTCAATGTCTTTGTTATCAATTTAAGTTCGTTTTCCTGGAGTTTGTTTCTTAATAGTTCCTCACTGTGGCAAGCCTTTCACATTTAAAAGGAAGTCTCTTACCTGCTACTTTAAAACCTTGGTATTTTCTTAGATTTGATCATATGCAGGAATTCAGGTACTGGGTTCTCTTATACACACTAAAAGTAAACTATTTTAGATTTAACATTAAAGTGAGCCTCCAAAGTTAATAAAAAACCCCAATAATGTCGGAGCTTTGGGAAGTTCTACCGCTACACCAACTGTTTTCAAATTGGTCTAGAGCAGAGGTTCCCAAACCTATTTGGCCTACCGCCCCCTTTTCAGAAAAAAATTATTCAGTGCCCCCTGGAAATCTACCTTCAAGAAGTGGACAAAAAGATGTAGTGACAAATTTACACATGCTAAAGAAAGATGTTGTTGTAAGTAAAGAAAGATGTTGTTGGCCTGAAGCCAGAGGCCAGCAGCAGCCACCACGCAATAGCCCAGCAGCAACACCAGTCTTACAAGGGTGCACATGCATGGCTGTGATTGGCTGTGGGGACCCCTCTCCCACTCCCTCCCTGATCCCATGGAAGAACCAGAGAAGGCAGGAAAAGGCTGCTTTAGGCCCCGGCCACACGGGCAGGAAAATGCGGGGGGGAGCGTGGCTGTTTGCCCCGGTGCAAAATAACGCGCGGTTGCACGATCAGACGTCCCCTCGAGGTCCCGTAGAGGTCCCGTGGTTAGGGGGGAGGTGCCGATCACACGACGCGGCAAAGAAGCGGCGTGGCGCGGCAAACGGGGCTGTGTTTTGGTTTTAAACTGAAGTGTGTGCATGCACCGTTGGGTGCTTGTGCGCATCCTGTGGAGACTTGGAAAAAAACCTTTTTGCATGTCGTACCCCACCCCCACCCACGAACCCCCCGCCTGCTCCATGGCCTTTCCCTTGAGTCCCCGTGTCGTCGTCATGCCCCCAACCCACTCGTGCCTTGCCCAGGAGGTGATGCCGGCATTGCTCATCCCAGGAAGGTGCCGGGGGGGCTGGCTGGTGCAAAGCTCTCTCTCTAACTCCCCCACAATGACTTGTCTGCTCTTCTTTCCTATTAATTGCGCTAGAAGAGAACGGCGCTGCTGGGAAGGGAACGGTGGGGTGGGGTGGGGGACACACACCTTTTTGCGAGGGGACATGGGCGGGCGCCGGATGCCACCAGAAACGCGATCAGACGCCCGCCCTTGCCCCGCAGTTACCGGAAACTAGTACCTCGGAGGTACTAGTTTTTAACTGCGCATCTTCGGAGGGAAGCCTCGGGTTTGCCATGGGAGCTCTACGCTTCCCAGATGTGGCGCTGTGATCGCACCCGGAAAATCCACCTATCATCCGTCTCAGTAGCGTGGCTACTGCTCCGTGTGACCGCAGCCTTAAATAGGTTCTGGACTCTTCTTTCTTTATGCTTCCACCCCCCTTTATTTTTATTAATCGCCCCCCAATTGCACCCAAGGCTCCTACTGCCCACCTGGATCATTTTAGCGCCCCCCAGGGGGTGGTATTGTCCACTTTGGGAACCAGTGGTCTAGAGAAAGAAGTGATCTTCATGTTTGTTACTAGATACTTTATATCCCTTATTTCTTTTGTTGCATTCAAGGCACTGAACATTGGGTTCCCAGGAGATCTCCCATCCCATGTTGTTAAAGCAACAAAATAGGAAAGCTTAGGAATGGTAAATTAACCTTGGAGGTTTGATGGGAAAGTAATTACATATATTTCAGTTTCTCTCCCAAATTTTTGTGATTTTTTTCCTGTTAAAGTGGGGATTGGGGGAATCTGTATGACTTAAAAATTTCTGGGAAAGTTATGTCTCTAGTCCTGCTGTGTCATTCTAGGGTAGAACTGAGCAGGAAGGCACAATACCACCAATCAAGGAATACATGTTAGTGGCCTTTTTCTTGAATGGAGGAGAACCAGTTTATAATCTATTTTAGTTTAATTCTTGAAGCTTCCAAACTTTCCTTTGTGTAGCCACAGAATCTCAACAGTGCAACTGCACAGAAAACAACTGGAAAAAACATCAGTTAAAAATAAGCAACTTTGGTGTAAAAGACTTTGATTACGCACATTTCAAAGCACCCAATGACTCATTTATAACAGTAGAATTTAATCACCTATAACTTGCATTGGATTGCACCTAATACTACCAAAGCCTCAAAGGCTTGCGTGAAGCAAAGTACTGTTAATCAAATTATCAACACTTCAGTCAAATTTGTTACAGTTCGTGGTAAGTAAATAAGCAATTGACCAAAGTAAGCTGGTGCTGAATTCAGTGTAAGTGGGATTAGTAGTTTGATCTAGGAACTTGATCTGATGCACTTTTTTGTTCTTTTTAAACTTCTGTTATTGATCTCAATTACATGAACAGAAAGTCTTGTTTCTTAAAGGATTACATTCTGTTTTATCCAAGGGAGTTAATGTTGTGTTGTTTAGGTGGATATATACGTGCCACTTTTCTTCTTTTATGTCTGTTTACTTTTCCATTTTTATGACATCAGTAATTCTTTGTACACTTGGTGTGTTCTGTGCGCTTTTAAAACTAAATGCCCTGTACACAAGTGGGTAGAGGGATTTCTGTATGAAGCAATCAATTGTGTTGATGGAATCAAAGCATTCTGTCTAGAACTAATACAAAAGTTGTAGCAGTAAAAGTAAACCTGAAAAGAATTAGGATGAGTACATGCATATAATAATATGTTGGACTGAAAGCTTCCCAATCTCTGAGAACAAAGGGTTTTGAGTAATATATTATTCAAGGGGGGGGTGATAGACATCAAGGTTTAGAGAGTTTGTGCTGAAGAACAAAGGGGGGTCTCATCTTTGGAGTTTTTCTTTTCCCCCAAGACCAAGTTGTGTTTGTTGAACTGAAGATCCTCACAATGGTTTATTATCGATAAGTAAGCACTCTGTAACTTGATTGTTTTTTATTAACTCTCCATGAAAGCAATTCATCTTGAAATGCAATCGGACTCATTTGCTGCTTTGTTTACAGTTGCCCCTGCTAACGTGAAAACATCTTCAATGTTTTTGTTTAGTCTGATCAGCCATTCAAACTGTGGCATCCATTTTGTCTCCAGGGTAAGAAGATTGACCTTTTTGGGTGGCTACAGCTGAAGATTGCTTTACAGAAGCCACTAGAAAGGTAAATAACATTTAATGTTTGCACTTGGTTTGCGTGGAATGAAGTAAATGCATGAATTCAGTACCCTGCCTTGCTGGCCTGTATGCCTGTGGATATGCCTTATCTCCTTGAAGGTGCCATCACTGAAGTGACATATGTACCCAGTGAAAACACAAGCATGTGACTGGATGTACCCGGACAGTTTGATTAACCTGAAAGTTCTGGCTAAATCATAATTCATTTAATCTTGTTCTGCATTCTCCAGTTAGTGTGGTGAATGGAAAGGAGATTCTTTGCTAGAGTTGGCTCCTGCGCAGGAGCAGTTCTTCAGAGAATGTCTCAGTTTGAAAGCTTTTGAGGTGGTTTGAGCTAGATCACACCTAACGTAGACTTGAATTGGTTTTCAATATAAGCGATGGAATAAATGGCTCTTAAGCTACAGTCCAAAGCATACTTATTACAGTTGTTTGAGGAGAGATGCTGTGGATTGGATGCTTAAGCACTGAGGAATTTTTGTTGCGTTTTAATATCGACCCATTTCCTTTTTCTTTTTGCCATTCCAAATAGTTTAGGGGTTGGAGAGAGGTTTGTGGCAGCAGTAGAATTAATAGTCAGTGTAGGAGGCCTGGGGTTCGGTCCATCTTCAGTTCCAGAATAAAGCAGCAGTAAGACAGGCCCTAGAAATTTGATCATGAGACTCTTTTTAGTAGAATTATGTTTTATTGGGCTAGATGAATCAGTTTTTAGACATCATTACAGGATCCTACGAATGTCAACAACAAACAAAATTAAGGAGGGTAGTAATATCTGTTTTTGGATTCAAAGTTGTGTTGTCTTGTGGATGTTCACGTGGTGGCCTGTATTCATTTCTTTCAGAAAGTAATAGTTATTTAAGTAACACAGCAACATCATTTGTGTAGTGATTGTCTTTGATATAATGTCAGCAATTGTTAATCTTTGATCTTTCAGTTTTGTGACTGTTTATAGGGACAAGGCAATAAATTCACTTTCAGTTCAGAAATTCTGAAATAGATTTTATACTGTGGTGAATTAGCGCATTTTGAAAAAAATATTTAAAATACTTTGGAGAAAAATTCAAATGCATCATATGTTCTTGTCTCACTTCTTAAAATACACTAGTGGGAACCCTGAAAGGATTTTCACAGGTCACTTCATTTTCTTCTGTATCCCTATCTCCACGCTTCCTCTTTCTTTCCTTGTGGCAGCCATCCTTTCCTTCTCCCCTTTTCCCTGCTTCCTTCTCTCCTTCCTGCTTATCACTAAGCAATATTCCTTTTCTCTTCCCCCCATAATCAGCTTACTTTACCTCATTTATGTCCCACTTTTCTCCCCAGCGGAGGCGCAAAGGGGCTTACATTATGACATTTTATCTTCACAGCAACTCTGTGAGGTAGATAAGGCTAAGAGAGTGACTGGCTGTGGGTCATCCAGCAGGCTTCCATGGCAGAATGGGGATCTGAACCTGGGTCTCGCAGATCCTAGTCTGAAATTGTAATCTCTACCCCATACTTGCTTTCAGCTATTTCCCACCCTGTGGCAGGCTCTCCCTGAGAAAGGTCTGGCCAAGTTGTGTTAGCAGTTTGCTCAGGTGAGTTGTGTGGTAACCTCTTCTGGGCCCAGCCAAGTCACACAACTTGTGTGGAGGCTGCTGCTGGGCCCAGGTGAGCTGTGTGGCATCAGTTTGTAGCCACTAGTGCACCTGGTTGCATTTTGCAATTGGATGGTAGCAAGTTGTCTAGTGGTTGCTGCTGACCCTGGCCTTAATGAGTCTTCACTCTATGGTAGGAAGGAGGGGAACAGGGATGGATTGGGAGGCCAAAATAGCTCTGAAAACGGCCCTCCCTTGTGCCCTTTAGTTGCAAAAATCAAGGCTGACAATATTGTTGGGTTGTCTAGCAACCGCCACAGTGGCCACGGAGATCTCCTTCCTTAAGGGTGCAGGTGCTGCCTATCTTATTTGAGGAGAGTTCAAACTAGGATTGTTAAATTCCTGGAGATTTTTTTTGGGTGGAGCCTGGGGAGGGTGTGGTTTGGGGAGGGGACAGGATCTTCAGCAGGGTATAATACCACCCTTCAAGCCCGCCATTTTCTCCAGGAGAACTGATCTCTTTTTATCTGGAGATCAGTTGTAATTCCAGGAAATTGCCAGGCTGCACCTGGTGGTTGGCAACACTAGTTTAACCGACTAGTTTATTTATTAATTTATTTATATTTAGAGTTCAATTTTTTATTCCATCTAGTGTTTTCTCTCCCTCCCTCTCCCTCCCTCTTTTTAGGTGAGCATTTTGTGTGTGTGTGTGCGCGCACACACACACCTCGAAGTCATGGTTGACTTCTGGTGACCCTTAGTGGGGCTTGGATGTTTTGGAGAGGTGGCTTACTATTGCTTGCCTGCCTCTGCATACCGGCCCTGGTATTCCTTGGAGGTCTCCCTTGCAAGTGCTTGCCAGGGTTGGCCCTGACGAGATCAGGCTGGCCTGTAACCTGGTGTTTTCTCAGGTTTGTAGGGAGATCTGTATTGTATGCTCATGGCTCCAGTAGCTGGGTCCAAGTAGCCACTGATGGGGCCATGTTTAGAATTGACTATCGTGATAATTTAGTGAAAGCCTGTAGTATTTTAGAACTATGGCTGAGTTTTCAAGGAGCCATCACTATAGTCTCTATGCACAGACATTAGCTTTTGAGAGCCCACTCCACCCCCTTTCCTCCATCCTCTCGTCAGAGTCATCTACATATTGGAAACTCTCCAGAGCAATATCTCATGAAGGACAAGTAGCTACAGATATAATTTTAAGGGAAATTTGACAAGTACACTTGCCTATCAATTTCAGTGGAACTTAAATGCAACAGGGAAGCTTTATTGTTCCAGGTGCTCCAAGCTTACTGCTTTCATGAGGTAGTGGTTGTATAAGGATCTGTCTCAGGTCTCTAGTATGGAGTGGAAGCTTGCTGGATGATCTCGGGCCACTTATTCTCTCTCAAACTAACCAACTTCACAGGGTAGTTAGTAGGGTAAGATGGAGAACAGTGGACAGTGTTGTAAACTGCTTTTGGTTTTGGTTAAGCAGAGGGTGGTAAGCAGTGGGGTACCGCAGGGATCAGTACTTGGTCCACTGCTTTTTAACTTGTTCATTAATGATTTGGAGTTGGGAGTAAGCAATGAAGTGGCTAAATTTGCGGATGATACAAAGTTGTTCAGGGTGGTGAAAACCAGTGAGGATTGTGAGGCACTCCAAAGGGATCTGTCAAGGATGGGCAAGTGGGCGTCAACATGGCAAATGGGGTTCAATGTGGCCAAGTGCAAGGTGATGCACACTGGAGCCAAAAATCCTAAATATAAATACACATTGATGGGGTCTGAACTGGCAGAGACTGATCAAGAGAGAGATCTTGGAGTTGTAGCAGATAACTCACTGAAAATGTCGAGACAGTGTGTGACTACAATAAAGAAGGCCAATGCTATGCTGGGGATTATTAGGAAGGGTATTGAAAACAGATCAGTCAATATCATAATGCCCCTATATAAATCAATGGTGCGGCCTCATTTGCAATACTGTGTGCAGTTCTGGTCACCACACCTTAAAAAGGATATTATAGCTTTGGGAAAAGTGCAGAAAAGGGCAACTCAAATGATAAAAGGGTTGTAACAGGTTCCCTATGAGGAAAGGTTAAAGCACTTAGGGCTCTTTAGGTTGGAGAAACGACGATTGAGGGGAGACATGATTGAGGTTTATAAGATTATGCATGGGATAGAGCAGGTAGAGAAAGAGGTACTTTTCTCCCTTTCTCACAATACAAGAACTCGTGGGCACTCAATGAAATTGCTGAGTGGTCGGGTTAGAACGGATAAAAGGAAGTACTTCTTCACCCAAAGAGTGATTAACACATGGAATTCACTGCCACAGGAGGTGGCGGCGGCTACGAGCATGGACGGCTTCAAAAGGGAATTAGATAAGCATATGGAGCAGAGGTCCACAAGGTATAGATAGGGGCTCTGGGGCAAGTGATGCTCTGTCTTCTTGGTGGGGGGGGGGGCGTCAACAGTGGGAGGGCTTCTAATGTCCTGGCCCCACTGGTGGACCTCCTGATAGCACTGGTATTTCTGGCCACTGTGTGACACAGAGTGTTGGACTGGATGAGCCTTTGGCCTGATCCAACATTGGCGTCTCTTATGTTCTTATGGTCCACATTGAGGACAAAAGCAAGATGTAAATAGCTAAATATATAAATAAATAGTAAATCTGCAAAACTTTCCCCTCTTCTTTTTATGCTCACAGAAACTGACCCTCCCCTCCCCTCCCCTCTATCCTCTCCGTAAAAGTGGTGTATATGATAGCAAATGGTTGCAAAGACACAATATGCTTATCACCCCTTAGCTTGGCTCCTATTATTGTATCGGCTGATGTGTTAAGAGAATGACTTGTGGTAACACAGCTTTAATAACAGTTTCACTTTTTTTTTAAAAAAAAACCCAAATATTCAGATATAACATGAAAAAATGTATCTTGCGAACACATTCCATGTGGGTGGTAATCACTTTCTGAACCCACAATACATTCTGAAACCTCAGCATTATTTGTCACATATAACATTGCATTTTCCGGTTATGGGATAATTGAGATGTATTATTTCTAAGTCTGGGCACCCATGGAAACATAAATTCATCTTCCAAACTGGATGCATGTAGAGATCAGGTTACAGGGGAAGCCATGAACTGTCACTGCTGAAGGAGATCCCAGGCAAGCAAGATGCACAGTTGTGCTTTCCAGACCAGAGACAAAGGCTGAGGAGAGACTGGCAGTATAACGCGTGAGGGAGGCGGGGCAAAAAGACCCGGACCAAGTTATCGGGCCAAATTGCCAGTCTGAACTCAGCCATCGACTGGAAGAAGCCAAGTTATGATGACAGTGGGGTGTCTTTACCTGAGGTCTTAACTACCAGGTTCCGATTGACCACTGAACTTGCCAGGAACTCTCCTGGTGGACCTCTGACCTGGAGGG